ATATGTAATTTCTAGTATTCTATCACAATCATTAATGTGACAATACTCGTACAGGTAAAATGCGGCTATAAAGGGCTAAATGCACTTGGCCGGACACGGGGCTCGAACGTTTGTTCACTGTTTACGACACATGGCATACCCCGCTGTTGAGGATAGATGTTGTCGGTTGTATCCTTAACATACATGAAAATGTAACATATGCATGTAATATGCCATGCTAAATTAAGGCTAAAGTGGCCGGTCTTTAGCTTGTGGTAGAAACGGGCTCGATGTTTTATCCCTCCTTTAATGGACATAAGGCTTACCCAATTGCTCCTTTAATGGACATAAGGCTTACCAAATTGTTAAGGGTATCATTGAGTAGATGTATCACTTAGCTAAACAACTATAAAGATTATCGTATGCTATTACCATCATGCGTGCGCCTAGAGATGTTATGTGCGGTGTTAATAGGGCTAAGAATTTTGGACCGACACTGGGCTCAAGGTGTTGTCGGTCTGTTAACGGGAACAATGCATACCGTGCTTTTAATGATATGGTAGTAAAGGTATGTCCCTTATCTTAAAAAAATATGCATTGTCTAGCGTGTTATCACCATAAAAAGGGTGACAATATAGGTTTAATGCGGTGTCAAAAGGGCTGATTTGGTTATTTTCGCACTTTGGCCGGACACAGGACTCAAACTTTTGTCCCTCTGTTAATGGACACATGGCGTACCTCGCTCTTTAGGATACAATTTTGTAGGTATTACCCTTACCTACGCAAGTATACTATCATCGTTTAGGGGTAGCAAGAAAAGCAAACAGCTCGGTAAATAAGCTTCGAGCTTATGGCAGAAACAAGGCACGATTTTTGTCCCTCCACAATTGAACATTAGTCACACCCCAGTGTTTAGGTTATTATTGAGTAGATGAAATTACTCAGTTATATAAATATGTAGAATATAGTATGCTATGACCATCATGCGTGCGTCTAGAAAGGTAAAATGCGCTGTTAAGAGGCCTAAAGTGGCCATTTTCTTATTTTAGACAGGCAAGAAACTCACACTGTTGTCGCTTTGTTAATTATTACGGGAACAATGAATACCATGTTTTTTAATGATATGATTGTATAGTTATTTCCCTTATCTACTCGAATATGTTTAACTAGTATCTTATATCCAAAGTAAGGGTGAAAATACCCATATAGATGAAAGGGCTTAATCAGATATTTTTTGCACTTTGGCCAGACACGGGGTTCGAACTTTTGGACACACGACATTTTATTGATATGCCCCCCAACTACATAAACATTCATAATATAAAGTAAACTGTCACCATTTTAGGAGTAAAGGTAAAATCATTGTTTGAACAGGATTTATCGATACACTTTGTCGGGTAGTCGGTGAGAAGACTAACATGGCGCAGAAAATAAAGCTAAAATTGCCGGTTTCTAGCTAACATGGCGCAGAAAATAAAGATAAAATAGTCGGTTTCTAGCTTAATGGCGAAACAGGGACAGATATTTAATATCTTTCCTTTAATGGGCATAACACACGCCCAAATGTTTAGTATATTATTAAGTAGATATATCACATTGCTATAAAAATATGTTGAATTTAGTACACAATGTATATGCTATCACCATTATGCGTGCGTCTAGAAAGTTATTCAGGTTAAAATGGCCTATTTCTCATTTTGTACGATCTGTTATTGGGAACAAGGCACACCCGCTTTAAAATGTGCGGTAAGAGAATTTCACAAAAAATATTATATTTCATTCCCTTTTTAAATTGTTCCAAAAGTAACACTTTTCCGCATTCACTATTTGAAAAAAAAATGTGTACATCGGATGCTTTACTCCTATATAAATTATTACTGTTTCTAATTTATGGGTGTTATAGAAATTAAATGGCGGGGAAATCACTATAAATATGCATGTATGAACGTTACTCAAAACAACAATAATGAGCTGGATTTTTTAATAATTTTAACATCAATCATTAGTAACTCCTGCAATATATATTTTCAAGTTGGATTTTTTTTTGTGAAAATCCCTTACTGCACCTTAATTGATATGATTAGATAGGTATGTCCCCATGTATTATCAAGTATGATATCACTATCATATAAAAGGGCTAAATTGGCCATTGTTGATCTTGCCCAGACACGGGGCACGAACTTTTTTCCCTCTGGTAACTGACACAAGGCATACCCCGCTGTTTATGATAGGATTGTTTATGTAACTCCCTTACCTACACGAATATGTATCATATGCAAATGTAAAATGCTATCACTATTTCAGGGATGGCAATAAAGATAAAATGCCAATAAATAAGGCTAAAATGGGTCATTTTCGAAGCTAAGGTAACATGTTCTCTAACATTTGTTCCTCTGTTACCGGATACAAACTATACTCATGCACAGTTAAAATTTGATTTTTGTCGGATATTTGTAATTTAACAATGAGGTTTTTCTCATGTTGTTACAAAAGATCATAAGAGTATACCAAATTGTATGGAATCTAACTCCCTATACGACCAGTGTACAATTAAATGTTTTCTGGCTCGTTTAAGTATACTTTTTTATACATTTTCCCTTACCCCTACCCTACTTTTTTAAAAGCCTTTCTGTTAAGTTATATCAATGCGTTTGCCACCAAAACGAAGCATTTTTCAATACCAAAAAGAATGATGTATACATAGCAATATATATGATACGATAAAAATCTATAAGCAGATTACGGCGGATTCAATGGCGGTGTCGCGTAATTTACGATTTTCGTCCGCCGTGTTATATTTTAAAAATTAATAACTGACGCAGTTTTGATAATAGATAAACGAATTTTTACTGGTAATATGTCTAAGCTAATTTCTATCGTCAGGAAAAAAATAGTATATTATTAACAAGATTCATGGTTTTATGTCAAACGCTTTGGGACAAATGACAAACATGTCAGATTCTAAAATTTTGCTTTCCTTTCATCGTCGGGAATATTTTGTGCGAAAATACTTTTTGTTGAAGAATTGTTAGTTTCATTCCGAAACAAGGGAAAACAAATAATAAAATTCGTTTCTAAGCCTTGAAACATGCGACAAGAGTGGATGTCCAATCTAAAGACAAGCTGGTTCGCCGTTACATGACTGGAATACTGTTGAGAAACGTTTACGGCGCTTATCCAACTCTAAACAAACAAAAGAAACACGGAAAATCACACCAATACATTTGATACGTTTGCCAACCATAAAACAATTTCCCTCAAAATCCCTCAGGTAATTGGCTAGTGTAACAAGCCAATCGAAGAACTGGAATAAAAAAACTTTGAAACATAGAAATGAGGGTTAGTATGGCAGTCTGCCAATCACGTAGGCTATTAGTGGTCTTCAAGTCGTAATAAAATGAATCTAGTCATTAATCCAGCCATTAAATGAACAGATGTGATGATAGGTTAAATCACTGTTACCTTCTCGATCATAATATGTTTGGTATCCATAGGGACAAAGATCTAGAAATCTGAAATGAAACATGCTGAAAAATGTTGTTATTATAGCATCCTACAAACAATTTAAAGGATTTTTTGGCTATTCTATAAAAGAGAAAAGATATATAAGATGAGGAAGATTCAGGTTAGCGTAATACCCGATAAAAATTCAATTTAATGTATGGTCTAAATCATTTTCTATCTCATGCCACTAAGAATAGAAAATACAGTCTCTGAGATCACAATCAACTTCAAATTTGCATTTACCAAATAAAAGATGTTGACAATTAAATAATACATATACAATTATTGAACTTCAGCTCAGCGTTTGAGTGATGTTTAGGTCCCGACTTACATTCACCTGAGAACTCCATAAGTATGAAACAATTTAAATAAGTAGTGCGCACGAGATGCCATGTCGTGGCCACGAGTAACTAAGTCGTGCCCATGAGATAATTAAGAGGTGCGCACGAGATACAATGTCGTGGCCACGAGTTACTTAGTCGTGCCCATGAGATAATTAAGAGGTGCGCACGAGATACAATGTCGTGGCCACGAGTTACTTAGTCGTGCACAGGAGATAATTAAGAGGTGCACATGAGATACTATATCGTGGCCACGAGTTACTTAGTCGTGCACAGGAGATAATTAAGAGGTGCGCACGAGATACAATGTCGTGGCCACGAGTTACTTAGTCGTGCCCATGAGATAATTAAGAGGTGCGCACGAGATACAATGTCGTGGCCACGAGTTACTTAGTCGTGCACAGGAGATAATTAAGAGGTGCACATGAGATACTATATCGTGGCCACGAGTTACTTAGTCGAACTGTACTGACACCAGACTGTCAAGTCCTAGCACTATCCTCTAAGTGCGGAGCGCAAATCCAGGAGGCTAATTAATCGCAATAGTACGATTTTGTTTCTTAACTTACAGGTGTTATAACTTCGTGAACAAATATAACGTGTTACCGTTATTATTTCATGGCAGTGATTGATTATTTGCTGCACTTGTACCTTTCATGCTTTTTTGTTTCTTGCCGAGGTTTTGCGTCTGTTATGGGAAAAAAACGCATCCAAGTGTGACAATTTTAAAATCTAAATGTCAACAAATATTTATAAACTGTTTATCTGTATACCATATATCTTTAAATATTTCTTAAGCTTTTAATAAACATCCGTCATTAATTGTTTACAAAAAGATCTTTGGCAGCGGAAAATAACTATGACATGTATGAGATGTAATAAAATACGAGTGTTATATAACTTGTTGCCGTTACTTAATGAAATGGAAGTGATTCCACGTATGTTAATAACAAATGCAATCAAAACAAAACATACGTTATGATTGGTGAAATGGAACCAGGACACTGTGACAATTACTATGTCCATACATTTTAATTGACATTGGATATTTCTTGACTAGTATAATATATCACATGAATTTGGTTTTCTTTTTCCATCTAAACAAAACAAGAGCTATCGACTTTTTGCAGCGTGTTATAACTTGATGAACAAATATTTTATAACGTGTTGCCGTTATCATTGAAACAGCCGTGGTTGATTCTTTGCTGCACTTTTACCTTTGTGTTTCTTTGGTTTTTCTCCTTTTATGAAAATCTAGCATACAAAAATCACATTCATTATAACAAATGTAATCAAATTAAAATATCATTATATGTCCATCAAAAATATATGATATAAAATCGAAGGGGTGCGTTTGAAATATTTGTGGTATAATAAATGAGGACAAATCTATATGCTAGAAAATAATTTGATCACGTTATTGTTAGCGAAAATGTAAACGAAGAACGGTGTTTTGGACACTGACAATTTTTATTTTCAAACATTTTAATAAACATAAGATATTTGCAGACTAGTATAACATAGCACGTAATATCTGATTAACAATTTAATTTAACATTCGTCATCAATTGTTTACAAAAAGATCTCCGGCAGCGGAAAATAACGCTGAGAAGATACAAATGAGAGTGGAAGATAACTTGTTGCCGTTTCTTAATGAAATGTAAAATATTCCTTGTGTATATAAATTACACTCATTACAACAAATGCAATGAAATAAAATATAATCAATTATTCATCGAAAATAAATAATGTAAAATCGAACATATAAAATCGAAGGGCTGCCTTTTACATATGTTTTTCATTATACTATAAAAGATGAAGACAAATCTATAGTCGCATGTAAATAACTTTGTCACGTTAATTTGGCGAAAAATGAAAATGATGAAAGGTATTTATGACACTGCAATTTCTATGTTAGAATATTTTAATAAACATTAGATTTTGTAGACTAGTTAAGTATATCACGTAAACATTCGTTTCTGCTTTATACAAATAGATCTTGAACAGTGAAAATAACGTTGAGAAGATACAAATTCGAGTGTAAGATAACTTGTTGCCGTTACTTAATGAAATGCAAAACCAATAACAACATTTATAAACCGTTTGTTTATTTGTTTACGATATAAAATATCTTATTAACACTTCAAATTTAAACATCTGTCTTCTACCTTTGACATCGGAAAAAACGCTATGCAGTTACAAATTAGAGTGTAAAATAACTTGTTTCCGTTACTTCATGCAATGGAAATGATTCCTCGTGTGCATCAATTATACACATTATAACAAATACAATCAAATAAAAATTATCAATTCTCCATCAAAAATGAATAACTCATATAATACCGAAGAGATGCATTTATATATGTTTGTGAAATAATATATGAACACAAATCTAGTTGTAAGAAAATAACTTGGTCACGTTATTTTGGAGATAAATGAAAACGATGAACGGTATTTTGGACAAAATCCTATGTTCAAATTGTTTAATAAACATTGGATTTTTGAAGACTAGTAAAACATAATATAATAACTTAAACAAGTATCTTATTAGAACTTAAAATGAACATTCGTCTTTTTTTTCAATTAGAATTTTGCGACGGAAAATAACGCCGAAAAGTTATAAATTCGAGACAGTGTAATATAACTTGTTTTCGTTACTTAATGCAATGAGAATGATTCCTCGTGTGTATAAAACATACTTATTATAACAAATACAATCAAATAAAAATATCATTAAGCCCCAATCGAACATGAATGATACCAAACCGTAGGGATGCCTTTATATATGTTTGTGAGATAATATACAAAGACAAATAAGTTGTAAGAAAATAACTCGGTCACGTTATTTTTGGCAAAAAATGACAACGATGACCCGTATTTTGGACACTGAGAGAATCCTTTGTTTAAATATTTTAAAGAAAATTGGATTATTGAAGACTAGTAAAACATATTACGTCAATATCTTATTAGTACTTAAAAATGAACATGTGTCTTTTTTTATTTTGCATTACATCTTTAACAGCAAAAAATAACGCTGAGAAGTTACAAATTCGAGTATAAGATAACTTGTTGCCGTTACCTAATAAAATGCAAAACATTAACAATTTATTGTTTATTTGTATACGATATAACATTTAAATATCTGATTTACACTTTACATAACTATTTTGTCTTTCTACAATTAGATATTTGTCTACGGAGAATAACGCCGAGAAGTTACAAATTCGAGTGTAATATAACTTGTTTTCGTTACTAAGTGCAATTGAAATGATTCCTCGTGTGTATACATTACACTTATTATAAGACATGCGATCAAATAAAACTATTATCAAGTCACAATCAAATATGAATGATATCAAACTGAAGGGAAGACTCAATATATTTTTGAGATAATATATGAAGACAAATGTAGTTGTAAGAAAACAACTTGATCACGTTTTTTAGGCGAAAAATTGAAACGATGAACGGTATTTTGGACACTGACAAAATTCTGTGTTTAAATATTTTAATAAACATTGGATTTTGAAGACTAGAAAAACATATCACGTTTATATCTTATTAGTACTTTAAATAACACTTGTCTTCCTTTTTTTGCAATTAGATGTTTGGCAGAAGAAAATAACGCTGAAAAGTTACAAATTTGAGTTTAAGATACATTGTTGCCGTTACTTAATACAATGGGAATGACTCGTCCTATGTATAAGAAACACTCATTATAACAAAATGCAATCAAATAAAATATTATCAATTCTCCATCAAAAATGAATGATACAAAATGGAAGGGATGCCTTTGAATATTTTTGTGAGAAAATAAATGAAGACAATTCTAGTTGTAGGAAAATAACTTGGTCACGTTATTTTTGGTGAAAAAGAAATGAAACGATGAACGACACTGTGACAATTTCTATCATAAAAATTATCATGAAAATGCTTAACTTTTTTTTTCTAAAACTCGATTAATTGTCTTTTGCAGCGTATAATAACATGTTGCCGTTGTCATTGAACGACCGTGGTCGATTATTTGCTGGACTTTGCTGTACCTTTGCGTTTCTTGCCGGTGTGCTGCGTCTTTTATGTTAACCACGCAGCCCAAGTGTGATACTTTTAAAATGCAAATTATTAATAATCATTTATAAAATGTTTTTGATAAAAAAGTATTTAATTTAATTAGCACTTTAGATGTTAATAGCATATGTCTTCTTATTTTTTACAAAATAGATCTTTGCCAGAGGAAAATAACGCTGAGAAGTTACAAATTCGAGTGTTAGATAGATAACTTGTTTCCGTTACTTAATGAAATAGAAATGATTTTTCCTAATTATAACAAATTTGGTCACGTCATGTTTCATGAAAAATAGAATCTTTGAAAAGAAAAACAATGGACAATATTTTGGACACTGTGATAATTTTCTAATTTCAAATACTTTAATAATTTTTAGATATTTGTCGACTGGTATAACATATAAGGTTAGAATAACCATATACACTTCTTTCCATGAAGTACTTTTTCTGAAAAGAACAACCGCTTTTAACATGTTTAAAGATGCTGCACTCACTGATGGACTACTGACGGTAAAAAATATAGTTAAAATGATTTTCATTTTTAATTTCAGGGCCATAGAAATATGATCAAAGACAATTTTTCGAAACAAAAGTAACTAAGAAAATGTTTGTTTTTGCTATTTTTTATTGTAGAAAAAAACCCCAGTGACTTACGCTATGAATTTATTGGTATATAAACATTTTAAACTCGCAGTGTAGCACAATTTTTGTAAGCACAAAGATCCTAGTTTGAATTCTTTAAATAATTTATTTTTCCTTACACTGTTGGCTCCTACACAAAGAAAATGATTTTGACACTCATACATTTAATATACATTGATTTTAACAAAAGTTGAAATGTACTTATATATTGGAATGCAGTCAGTAAGATAACCTGTTTCCGTTAGTATTTAAACGGCATGGCTCATTGGCTTCACTCAGCCAGCCCGCATAGCTCAATCGGTTAGAGCGCGAGACTTGTATTCTCGAAATTGTGGGTTCGATTCCCGGGATGGCCAACTAAATTTACTAATCAGTCTTTCGGATGAGACTTTAAATCGAGGTCCCGTGTATGAGTGCTTAAACACTTAAGCACGTTTAAGAACCAGGAGAAGCTTCTGGAACTGGGGCATCTTTCTGTATCTTGCACTATCCTCCAAAATCTAAAATGACCAATGCTCTTCTGGAGGACTCGACCATATGTGCAACCGGTGGCGAGTATTTATAAACGCAAATACACACACAAAAAGATTGGCTTCACTTGTACCTTGCCGGTCTTGTCAGTTTTTACGCCTTTTATGAAAAACACGCATCAGTGTAAAACTAATTAGTTAACACTTTTGTCTTCTCGATTTCTTGAATAGACCGAATGAATGTCTTTGAAGTATATTTGTGGAAAATAACTTTGTGATCGGTCTTATATTTAGTGAATATGGAACAATGAACCGTTACAATATTTTGCACACTGTATTATTACGGACATTCAAACAGTTTTCAAACAATTTTATAAACATTAAATATTTGTCGAATGGTATAATACATTGTGTAAAATGTTTGAGTACTCGTTCTGTAAATATTTGTTGTTCTCAATAGAACAATTGCTTTTGCAGAGTATGATAACTTATACGCGTTAAAACATAGTGGGCCAATATTACGTGCTGCCGTTGGCTGTCATTTGCTGATTTAGTACATGTTGTAAAAAAAAACTTCATCATTACATACACACTGGACGAAGACGTGCCGCGACTGTGTTAATCTATCAATTTGGACGTTGTTTTTATTAAAGTTTTTTTTGCGTAAATTATGCCGTGGTGATACAATGTCATAGTTTTGAAGCTCTAATGGTTTTACTAAATATAGTTAATGGCATATACATTCGCAACTACATTAAAATATGGAGTAAATATTTATGTTATAATAAATAATTCTTGCAGCGGGAGACTTTTTTCCACGGACGCTGCTTTTTACCTATATTGGTGCAACGGATAAAACTACTTAGTTGCTGCCGTCTAGAAATAAAAGATAAAAATACCTCTACAAAAAATAAGTTTTTAATACGGTTTTTAGACACATTAATTTGTTTTAAAATAAACGTTTAAAAAGCCATGTCTACAAACTTACACGAAAACAATGTATTTAACATTATTTAAGCTGTATATGAAATATTGGTATTGATTTCAGTATCGTTTAACTCACTATAAACCCACAATTTATAATTACATTGCAGACAAGAATTTTATTATGTTAAGTAGTATAAATGGTAGACAATCGGGAATAAAGCCTGATAGGGTAGCAAGAGTTATTTTTCTTGCTTCCCCTACTTTCCGGAAATAACGCAAAAGAGTTAGAAATGATTTTGTATTACCTTTTTTCAAATGCCCTGCGCACAACTTTATCAGCTTTGCTCACCAAGTCAAAGACAGACATGTGAAAGCATATTGTTTATACTTTCATAAAAAAAAATCAGAACAATAGGAAAATTTTGAGATTCGCGCAACAGCGATCTCAAAATTAGAAAAATTGGTCATTTTTGAGCTAAAAATAGCACATAATTCAAATTAATTAGACCGTGACCTGACTATGAGATGCACTAACCTGTTGATTTATCGGTACTGTACAAAATACGTGTACTTACAGTCACTTTTCGATGTAAACGGAGAACATATACGAATAAAATAAACATTTACAAAGTTGATCCTGTTAGTAAACGGATAAAATTTTATAACGGCTATGGGTTATAAAAATGATAACGTGTTTAAGTTACACCCCTGACTGTAAGCTAATATGTTAGCTATCAGGATAGGCCTATGAAGCACCAGTGTTGTTTTTTCTAAGATTGGAATATATTTTTGGACAGTGACTGTATACTAGTACTCGTTGTTATGAAGGTAGAAAAAGTATCGAAAACATGTTAATATTGCAAATGGCGACGTAGTTTGATAGGGACTATAAAAGTTTAAATGTTGGTTTGATTAAATGTTATTTTGATTATAGAATCAGTATTATTGAAGTTTAAATAGGCATACATAAAAGGTTATCTTCTTGATTTATTTTTCGAGTTAGTTTTATTTACAAAAGACTAAGTTTAAACCTTATGTTAACAAAAACCGGTCAAACCATGATAGAAAAAAAGAAACCTATTATGTGCACGGAGAGACGTATTTGTGTATTCCATTTGTAATGAGTTTTCACCCGCCCGTTAAGGCAAAAAATGTAGCTTTTCCTAGAGTTTACAAAAATGGTAATTATTTATCTCTATTCAATTTCCACTGTATATAAAATATGAAAAACAAATAAGGGTGGCGTTCAATGAACGGAACACCCACATAACGAAGCCAAATATATGAGATTCATTTGAGACGAAAAGAAGGCACAAGAACTGAGGTAAAAAAGAAATATTGAAAGTACAGTGATCTTTGCCCAGTTATAATGACATAGGAAAAACATTTAAAATACAGAATAACGTTTTGGAGATCCCCTGAAGAAGCTTTTAGCCTGGCGCATTTTAGTTAAAGCACGTGTATTGCCAATGCAAACTGATTGATACGTAAATAATAATTCGGTTGGTCATATTTTATTTAAATTTTTAAGTATTTTAAATAATACATTTTTGTGAAATATCACAAATTGCCATGTAAATGCAATTCTTAGAAAAGAAGTAGAGGTTAAAATGTAATGAATTGTGTCTTTCGTAACAAACAATTGAGAATGATTTTTAATTACTTTGTTATAACCTAATAATGTTATATTTGATTTTCAGTCCAATTTGCAATTAACATTAATCAATTCAAATTAGGGAATCAGTATCCTTTTATCATTTTCAATAAAGTCGTAACATCATTTGTTCATACATATACTTTGTAATGATCTTTTGAAACTTTTCAATAATGAATAAACATGTGGTTATATATATATTTATGAGTTAATATACTGGATAAAACAAGCCTACTGAAACACTCATTGAAACAAATAAAACAAATTCAAAAGATTGAAAAAAATTAATCTATATTTATAGAGTTCTAAATACAGTAACTGAATAATGTAATACGGAGCAGATAAAGTCATATACCACTTAGAGTCCAAGGAAGCAAATTTCTGGATAAAATTATATAGCCATATTCAAGTATTAATCCAAAATTTTAGATGTAAATCAGTTATTTTAAAGTTGTTTTAACTTTATTTTAATTTCACATTTGTTTTAACTATATCTTAATTTAACGTTTGTTTTAACTATATTTTAATTTAACGTTTGTTTTAACTATATTTTACTTTAACGTTTGTTTCAACTATATTTTAATTTAACGTTTGTTTTAACTATATTTTAATTTAACGTTTGTTTTAACTATATTTTAAGATTATTTCTCTGACATTGCGACATATTAAATAGTTCGAGGTAATCACTAATTAGCAACTTCTGTTTCATTCATTGATTTAATACTACATTTTTTGAAAACGAATTTATGAGTGTTTTATTTTTTGTATGCACAGTCTCATTTCAATAATAGATTCGAAAATATTGAATCATTTGACATCATTTTACTTAATCTATTTAATTCGTTATAAAAAATGGAAATCACAAAAGGTGGTTGACAGAATAGAAACAATGTCGGTATTAGTACATAACATGGTACTGATGTATCGCCAATAAACTTGCAACAACAAACCAAGTTTGAAGATCTTTTTGAAATGTGCAATCGTTCACAGCATTATACATATTCTTCCTTGAATAGTCCGGAATCTTCAATGCAAATTCTGGCACGAAGTTCGTTGAAGTCATTGTTATGCAAGAGTGTAAACTCGCCGCCAAGCATGAACCGTTTGGTCATATTGTTATAAAGAATACTCATGTCTTTGCTGAGCAAAAAATCGGAAGATTGTAGCTCAACTTGATCGCATTGATAGAGCTTGGTGATTATATGTTCTGGCTCAGGGGATACTTTTTGTAAATACGCTATTTGATATCTTGGTAATTCAAAATACCCAGTAAGGTTACCAAAAACTTCCTCCTATGCTCTGGTGTTGCTGATTCCAAATCGTTGTTGTATATACTGAAAACTTTGACGACTTTAGCACCTTTGAGACATTGAATAAATCTATATTCCATGTCTGTCCAATCATTTGTCTTATGCTTTTGTTTATAGAGTCTGGAGAAACACTTTTCAATTTTCTGTGTAAAATAATTATAAGATTATTTGACATGAGCGGTTTATCCATCTTTCTATAAAATATAGTGTCAATTAACCATTTTTTAAGCCACGTTGATTTGAAAGAGGGTAGAACTCTTCTATTGCCATATGCAAAATTGAATACCTCCGATACGTTTATAAATGTATCCAATGTAAGATTAACATAAACAGCATAGTTTTGATTCAACCAAAGCTTACTTGGATAAACACAGTCATTGTCTCTGTCTCTGTGTTGTCCAGTGGGACAATAGGTTTGACGACACATGTCAACCTGAAAAGAAACAAAAACCAACAAAATAAAACAGATTGTTACATATGTATTTGTCCCCCATCTAAGAGGTATGTCGTCTTACACAGAAAACGAAACTTTTAACACTTTCTAAATAAACGTATAAAGAATGGACCTTTTATTTATAAATCATAAAAGTGCTTTCTTATGATATAAGTACATATGCTTACATCTATAGGGAGATAATTTGATTATAAATACAGTGACAGCTGGTCTAATCCCCGATCGAACGAGGTTTTTTTTTCATGACAAATTATCTCGGACATTGAGTCTTATGGTTATTTCACTTTCGTCTCTGATTTAGGAATCATGAAGAAAAAGCTGTCAGTCACTAGGAAAAAAATTGGTGATAACTCATTAGGTATCCAGAACGATTGGATAGGTTGATCGCTCTCCGAGCTATGACCAAAACGTGTTAAAATATCTGGAAAAAAATGATCCCTCAGAAGCAGTTTAACAGCAAAATTACGTGCAGATTGCAGATTCGTCTTGATTAAGTCTGTACATGAGGGATAATGAAAAAGTGCCAAAAGTCCGTCAAACAATCCGTACAAAGAAATACATTAGTAATATGTGCATGGCGTGGTTCGTTTTTGTCAGTATAGAAATAAACTTGGATTTTTTTATACTAGTGTATAATTGTATATGTTGATAAACATCTCGTAACTTAATTTACTTCTGAGGTTCTGGTCCCTTTTGACAAACACACACACGCGCGCACACACACAAAATATACAAATTTGTCTTAAGAATTAAAATTATTATTGCGATGTGCATAGATGATACACGGTAAACACTAAGCAATCATATTTACTCTCGTTTTAGAAAACCTAGATAGATGTGATTACATCCGGTTAAACAAACTCAAAAAAGAGATGGAAATTAAACGAATTGTTTTATGAGACCGGTACAAAAAAACTTACATTTTTAGAGGAGCATGCGAGAGGCGAAAAAACCTCTTTCTTAGTATCCTTACTCGTAGTAATAAAGATGTTATCGATGAGTGCTATAAAATTGCCAAATCCACCTTTTTGATTGAAATCATGCTTCGTGCCATCATACTTTTTGCAAAAGCTTTGGCGATAGAACATCTCTGCACTACATATGTGACAAAAGACATTGGCATACAGTTTTTCTGCTCGATATGGTGAGACAATGCCACTGTTTGTACATAATGACCGTACGTCATCTTTTAAAACATTAATTCCTTCGGGCAACTGAAAGTCATTGATCCCAGAGCATGTGTCAATGAGATTGATGTAACATTTAAATGGTTGTAAAACATTAGATTCACCAGGAAAGATAAAATTTATCTGACAGCTTTCCGGCAATGTATTTGCGTTCAGTTCAATAGCGGCCATGCCCATTTTTATATCAGCACACCTTATAACGGCATCCCAAATAATTATGTCGTCATCTGCATTATCCTCCCGTGCGCATTCTATATTTTTGTATATCATTTTTGATGTTTTAGAGTAGACAGGAAATAAACTGCCCCAAGGAGCAATCTGCCTATCTCCGCAATATACATTGGATGGACCTTCTCGAGAGTTTGAGATCTTTTTCTGAATAGACGAAACCATCAAAAGTGACTGGTAAAGATAGTCATCGGTTGTCGGCTGTGGAAACATCGGGTAAATACAAGAAGAATCGTTTCTGAAAGTTTGCAGTTCTTCACCGATCACCCCTTTTGATGACAATTTATTCGGAAAACAACAATTACGAGTTTTCGAACAATCATCTGAACAGGAACATTCTGTAAAATAGAACACAATTCAAACTGATCATACATATTTACCAAACGTTTCTCAATGCAAGCGGAGAAAAAGACACGTACTACATATTATTTAATATATTATTTATTTTTTTATTGAAAAAAAACTTGCATTATAAAAACAGTTCTACTACTCTACTAATTCTATAAAATATGTAAAACAAAAACGGGCGGCGTTAAATGAAGGAAACTTCCACACGACCCAGCAACACAGGACGGCGCAGGTAAGCACCTAAGTTGGACACTTACCAGCACAGCAGGATTCTGTTCCTGGTCTAAATGCAACATCGTCTTTAGGCATAGATGATTTATTCCTAGAGCAGACATTACTTCCAGGACAGAGATAGTCAACGAGGTCTGGTATTTTGCTATAAAGCGATGCTTCTCTATTTGTTTCTCCACCTCCTATACATATATATAACAGTACTGACACAAGCTGTAACACCGCTGTACCACACCTACAGATGTATTAAAATAATAATTATTGTCTTTATAATAATTCAATTCGTTGAAAAAAAAAACAACCGTATATTCTTATGATCATTACCTGAATCAAACAAACATAACAAGAGGAGCTACAGTTCTGTGTAATTACAATTTTAAAAGGAATATATTAATAAATGAAACATCGAAAGAAAACAGACAAAAGAATAAATAGACGAACAAACAACAAACGAGTAAAAGTACAAATGTTGCTGCAATGCAGGAATTGAGAAGCGCCGTTTTTGCAGTATTTATCACAATATTTCTACTGTGTTACTAACGCAGGATTGGTAATTTTGCTTATTTGGACCTCTTTTTGGTAATTTACGTTGATTGTAAGTGTTGCTTGCAATGTGCCAATTATTTTCTTTGTTCACTTTGACATACTATTTTATTTTAAATATATATTTAATATTTTCATGAAAATTAGATGAATCTTCATGAATCTAGCATGCTGCTTCAATGGGAGATCAATCTACTATTTTGTTGAATTGCTTCAAAATCCTCGTCTGACCCACACGCGTTTGTTTACATTCCTATAAATAAACCAATATAACCTCGACGAAAGTTTCTGTTACGAAAATGTCACAGTATTAAGCAACTCAACATTCCACTCAAACCACCATAAAACCGGTTGCCTTCAAACAAAATAGAATCAACTCTTAAAGCCAAAATTCGGGAAATCAGGGTCGGTTTAAATATTGACAGTATAAAAATATCAGAAGTGCCATCAGATCAGAATGAAGGAGCTATTAATTTATTGGAAAGAACCTATGGAAAAGACAATTTTAAAATGATAATACTATGATATAAGAATTCGTAAAAATGGCCTACTTATTTTTTACGATAAATTAAAAAAAAATGCAATTTACTGCTGAATATGTTTGCATTTCATTTCATTTCAGTTCGTTATTTATTACCATAGCGCTACACGAATGTCCGTTTCGTGTAGTTCCATACTTAAAACAAAAACAACTTCTATAGTCATCTAATTATAGCTTTCGAATTCATGTACAGCAATAAAATACATACATAAGCCACTGTGTACTAGATGTACAAAATAATTAGTAATTTCCTGTAGAAGATACAAATGTAAGAAATAAATTACAGAATTTAAGTTTATATTATCTTTTCCCTACGCAGCGATTTAGGCATGTAATTTATTCCGTTCTCATTCATTAATATGACATGCTGCGAATCACCGAAGAGGAAACCAATATATGACTTCACATAATAGAAGTCGGAGGAATTATAAAAAAACAATGGGCAAAATGGAAGATACAGTAGACGAGAAAGCAACAAGGTACACAAACAAAAATGTCCAAACCAAACCAAACCAGTGTATAACAACAAAGGCATATATCTGAGGAACCAGCTTGGAACGGTCAGCGGCATAAGTACTGCTGGGCGTTTAAACCGGTTAATGGTTCACCAAACTTCACTCTTAGCCCCACAAGTTAAGGCTTATAACAAAGACACGATATATCTTAGGCGCAATAACGATATTTTAATAGGTGGAGACACGAGACCTTTGTCTGTAAAATTATCTTGTCGGCGAGAAGAAATCATCGTGTCGGCGCCCTGTATGTGTCGTATCGTCGTGTCCTTGCCTCAAAATGCGAAGACACGATAATCGGCTCGGCTTTATTGAGCCAGTTAACGCTTTTGATAAAATAATGCACCGTCTACGCCCCTTAGCACCTGATTAAGCATAATTCAACATTTAAACATAAAACTGTGAAATTTTGAAGTAAAGAATAATTATGAGCATGTGTTCATACGAAGGCTATCATGGTACTTTAATTGTGACATTTTGAGAAAAAATATAATTGAGTGATAGAAAATGTTAATAATGATCAATCAATTGTAAAATATTTATACTTTCCATTAAAAATGAGCTTAAAATATTTAGATTTAATGTAAATTGGGAGAAGGGAAAATATACTTTTGTATAACAAGAGGTATATTCATTAAAATATTATGTTTTACCATCTATGATTTTTAAATAAAAAGAAAGATTTTGTACACTTATTCTTGTGCGCGTATCCCTTATAATAATTATGTTGGCTTAATCTATGTTAATGCTTGAAAAAGTAATACAATTATTTTAGTAAAAATGTTTAAAGACAAGAAACAAACAGACGAATGAACCAGACGACGAATAATCAATTTACCTTGCTCGAAGTTCCATTTTAATGTCTGGCGATAAATGTGTTGGAATCAGTATAATTATGATCGGCAATTACTTTCGTGACAACTGTCATGCATGTTCCTGAGAAATACTGATAAAAAATAAGCCGATTATCATATATTTATATCTGTATATGTTGAACATATCTTGTAAAACAACTGTTTTATTGTTAGGCACGCCTTAATATTATCCATTGCATCATTTTATTGGTTTTTCTATTGCAGCGCAGATTCAATTAAGGCGAATAAATGACAGTTACTGCTCATATAGGAGAAATAATTCCATAACATAAGAAGTGAACCGTTTTGATTCTAACATATCCGAAATAATTCAATTAAAATGAATTCAAATAAAACATATTTAAAGATCCTGTATGTTGTAATTGAGGTTGTATACCATATATATATAATTGTATATAATTATGCTTATAAAACAATTTTAAAACATCGAAGAATATGTAAAATATTACTGCAAATATTTGTACATATTATATGTAATCAATAAAATATATGCATTCATTACTTATTGAAAAAATTGACTTAGACTTTATAGAAAAAATGTTTTATTACCTCTCTTTATTTACATGAAATGTAAAATTCTGTAATATCTTTGTAAAAAAATGCTTTATGGAACTTACAAAATTGGTAAATTTAAATTTGAGCATCATATTTAAGATTTAAACCATTAAAAATTGTGTTACAGGATCTTTAAACTCTACATAGTGAATATAAGTAGTTAGCTTTATTAAATTTAAGTGGGTCTTTTCTTAAAACAAAAATGTTTATTTACATGATTTTGTTTTCATTTTGTTACTATTTGATGATGGTCAAGAACAAATTTCTCGTGTGCAATATTTTTCAGATTATTTGCTCATTTAATCCTGAGGAAAAAAACTTTTTTAATCATGTTTTGGACATTCATTTCCGCTTTAAGTGCTGAAGTTGAAATATTTAAAAAATCGTTTTTCTTTTCTTGTTGCTTTTTTTTATTTGGTGACCTCTTTTTAAGTTTGTTTTTAAATTTTTTTTCATTTTTTTTTCTTTGACTTGTATTTGTTTAAAATTTTTACCCTTTAGTTTTATTGTCGGAGGGTTTTAAAACTTTTTTTGGGGAAAATATGGGATATTTAAACCGCTTTTGACAAACAAACAACAAATATTTATATTTACAATCGTTTATTAACATATTTTTAAAAATTTAAGGTACACCAAAAAAAAATTTTTTGAATCACCCGCTGGGCGAAAAGGAAACGAAAAAGGGGCCCCAAAAACGTTGCGGTTCCCAAACTGTCGTTTTTGTTTCCCTGTCTTTTAAGCACTTCTACGGCGCGTTGTCTTTAGGCGTTTTGTCGCGATATCACACTGTCCTGGGGTCCAATAAAAGGAGGGCCCCAAATTTGAAATTATATAAGGAAAGGTGACATCGCGAACAAGACTGCAGGGGGAAAAGGTTTAGGCAAACCACGACGACAAGACGAAAAGTGCGAAAACGGGGCCCTTTGCCCGGAACGCGCAAAGGGTGTACCAAATCTGCACCTTTATTTTTCACAAAAAACATCTCAATAATCCCAATCCACTTTAAAATTTTTCACATGTCCCGTACATGAGGGTTATAAAAGATTTTTTCTTTTTTTCTAATTAAATAAAAAAAATCAATTCTCTTCTCAATTAATTTGATGCATACAATAAGATATTTATAAAAACACTGTTGTTGAGTTACAGAACTACAATTTTATTTAAAACTATGTTTTAAAAGAAAAGACAGAAAAAGACGAAATAAAGTCGTCGGCATTTCATATTTACTTAAATTGTATGAAATATTGTTACATTTATTTCATCACTCAAATAAAAAAGCGCTTTTGATGCATACTTAAATTGTGTCCCTTTACAGCATTTTGTTTGAATAAATGTTATAACAACATTATAGACCCTTTCATTTAAGAGCGGTTTTAAGTTGTCGCCCTTGGATGACGTCATTGGGGGATAAAGGCAGATTTGTCGATGCGCACAGGAATTTACTTTTTATCGTTGATGTAACGGCAAAACAAGGTATTTTGTGGAAAATATGGTGTAAAACAGTACTTTATCAAACAAAATCATGATAAGACTGTATCTTTATTCTGCAGTTTCATCTTTTTATCAACTATCGCGTCGTTAGTTAAATGTGTCATATATTTTCGCGATCTTACCGGCATTTTCTTGGTTTAATGTTTCTGAAATGTTCGAGTGAAATTATCATATTTTACGCTCAAATGTCACTTATAACGGTCTTTTTTGCGTAGTATTTTATATATTTATAATTTTTGATTTTCAGATATGGACACAACGATGTCTGATCACAACTATTGTGTGCCAAATAATGTTGATACACAGGTGGAATACTTTATTGCAACTCGACTTGAAATTCCTCTTGAAAAGCCAGATGGTACTGCCGTTGACTTTCCCACAGACTTCAGACAGTCAAAGGTATCTTATTTCAGTCTTTGTGCCACCAAATGTGTTTTTAAAATAGTAGATTTAATTTTTAAAAACTCCTTATAAACAATTAAACTGAGTGGAAAATGATGTTGAGTCATGTAGTTTTAGTCAGAATAATTGTAAACATTTAGCAAATAGTGTACAGAATTTTTTAGAAAAAAAAAACAACTACTTTTTATGAGAGAAATGATGGTAGATACATATTTTTGGCAAGTTAACAATTACTCATCATCAATTAAATGTTGTGCACTCATATGCATATAAACTAAATATTTTTGAATGGTTTCTTTTCCAGTCCAATAAAATCTGTTGTGTACCGGAATGCCACACTACTGGTTATGATGAAATTCCTGGTCATGGAAAACCTAGTTACCATAGTTTTCCTGCAGCCACCAATCCACTGCGATCTGTTTGGCTAAATAAAATAAAGAGGGATGAAGGGCCACACTTCAAGGTTAGTTTTGCACCATAGTCTTTTCGAGACTATTTAGTAATGAAATTGCAAAGTGTCAATCTCATTAATCAGTGAATATTTAAAAAAAAAATGCATTTATCGAAAAACAATCATTTCCATAATTGTATCTTTTGCTTATGTTTATCTTT